ACAGATGTATGGCTGATAGATATATAGAGATAGGTAGCAATCTGTAGATAGCTAAATAGCTAAACAACTAATAGCTAGCTAGATAGTTAAATACCTAGATAGTTTGATAGCTAGATAGAGATACCTATTTCACAATTCAATATCCAGCTCTTCCTAGCACTCTGAGAACTACATACTTCTTCCATGTGGCTATTACAGTCTTTCAGGAAAAAAGTAGGTGACAACTGTATTACCAAATTTTTAAGAGCTAAGCACTCAAGCACTTCATCTGGTAAATGAACTGATCAGATTCACTTTCTCTTACATTCAGTATTTCCACACTTCAGGTAACTGTAATTTAATTTCTGAGGAACTTATTAATTTTTGTAAGTTCTTTGGTATATTTATTTTTTAAATGAACAAAATTTTCATATATTTCTAATGATGGGACATGACATTCATGCTGTATTTGAATTAGTATGGATTTCCACTATGGTCTTCTTGACAGTGAACAATTTCATGGCACCACCAACTCCTAGATTCTGTACTTTGAGTCTTGTCTGCCTTGGTCAATATAAATTATAATGAAAATTACACCTAAATACTTATGTAGCAAAAAAAACCTGAAGCACTGCTTATTTTTATGGATAAAGCCTCCAGTTCTATTCACTCGTCACCTCTCAAGTTATTTTCTAGGTACCCTACTAGCATTATAAATGATCCCCTTTTGGTACAAAAATTGTTTGTAGTAATGAAATGATTATAAGTTTCTCTATTATAAAACATTTCTTTGAAATCAGTGGAATGGTTTTTAGGTCAATGGAATGGTAGTGGCTATGATAGAAAGAAGGCAGAGCTGGGGTGGGGAGTAAAATACATCATAAGTTTAGAGTCCTTGCATTGCCACAAGAGATCTAAGTCCCACCTCCTTTGAAATCCAGCGACCCTTATATAGTGCCATTTTAGTGCTGATCATGAGTTGACCACATTAACGTCAGGCACAAAGAATCAAGACCATTCATGTAGATTGCAACATAAATAATTTATTGAAGTCTATGCATAAGAATCAGATCAACTAATAGTCAGCACTAAATTGAATTTCAGAATCAGAATAGAGCTGGAAGGGACCTTGGAGGTCTTCTAGTGCAGTTGCCTGCTCAAGCAGGAGATCCTATTCTATTTTGGACAAGTGATTGTCCAGTCTCTTCTTAAAAACCTCCAGTGATGAAGCACCCACAACATGTGAAGGCAAGCTGTTCCACTGGTAATTGTCCTCACAGTTTAGGAAGTTTCTCCTTAATTTCAGGTTGCATATTTCCTTGATTAGTTTCCATCCAATGTTTCTTGTCCTGCCCTCTGGTGCTTTGGAAAATAAAGTGACCCCCTCCTCTCTGTGGCAGCCTCTCAAATACTGGAATACTGCTATCAGTCCCCCTATCCCTTCTTTTCTCTAGACTAGCGATATCCAATTCCTACAACCATTCTTCATATGTTTTAGTCTCCAGGCCTTTAATCATCTTAGTTGCTCTTCTTTGCACTTTTTCCAAAGTCTCATCTGTTTTGTAATGTGGTGACCAAAACAGGATTCAGTATTCCAAGTGTGGTCTTAATAAGGCTTTATAAGGATGAACAGAATCTAAGAGGGGCTAGACTTGGATCTTTTGTGGCAACACAAGGATTCTAAAGTGATGACTTATTTTATTCTGCCATTCCCCTGGCTCTGCTTTGCTTTCTCTTACAGGGACTCAGGTTAAGGACATGATCTTCAGTAACAACTGAAAAGATAGATCAAACAAAGGTTATCCTTGCTGGCCTAGGAGCCATTCCTTTCAACTCCTGTTTGGTTGAAAAGCTGTTTGTTCCATCTCTGTCTAGGAAGAATGTCAGCATACCAGTGGCATATACATGCACCATTGCCAGGTAGCTATTAGCATCATGTTGATCTGAAGCCAACTTGCTTTTATCCAAGCAAACTTTGTCAATCTGGAATGAGAAACTGATGCTTGATTACATGGTATGTTTTACTTTTTGCTATCCAAATTAAAATAACTAAAGTTGTGCAACAATTCAAGAGTTTAGGGTCAGTTGATTAACTGGCAGCATCAATCCGGGGCTATAATTCAATTAAAAAACATCAATAAAAATCTAATTTCAAAAGTCTCGAGCAGAGTGCACCAATATGCCACCAGCAGCAGTTGGAAAGCGCTCGGCTTCTCTTGAATCACTGCCCATTTTTAATAAGTATTCCGAAAATTATACCAAGACTTCAAAAGAAATTGTAAGGAATTGTTAACCGGTTTATTAATGTTTTATGTTTTATTAAAAGTTTGGGTGTACATTTCACAATGAGCAACATCAAAAATCAGACTTTTTGCCTGTAATTCTGCTTCCTCCTGTCTTTCTGCCTTTGGGATTCACTCTTTTCCTTTCATCAGCTGCCATTTTCAGCCGCATGCAGTAATTTCATGGCTCATTGGAAGCGCTGAAAACCTTTGAAACCACAAATGCTAACCTACCTGGCCTGCAGCCATTTAGGAAGAGATTAATTTAGCAAACAGAAGCAAAACACTTTCTACTCCTAGCCTGTGCATAATTTCACTTCTATCTATATTTATTTTACAGGGAGCAGCGTAATGACAATTTCAGTAATTGCAACTCTGTAAAAATTTGCCTACCTAGCTTATCTCACTATCGCAAGACTGTGAGTCAGTCAGATTAGAGGGAAATAAAGTACAGTGTGAAGCTACCTTGGTTGCCTTCCAAAATTAAAAAAGAGAATGTTTTTATATCAAACTTCAGTGATGCTTTGCCACTTATTTGTACACTTATATGCAGGACAATAGAGTTTCTAATATGCTGGGAAGGGATGTGTCTACCTTTAAAAAAAAATATACAGTGATTTATAGATGCAACCTCTTCAGCCCCCATCCCCAAAGACGAAGAAAGAAAGAAAGAAAGGAAGGAAGGAAGGAAGGAAGGAAGGAAGGAAGGAAGGAAGGAAGCAAGGAAGGAAGGAAGGAAGGAAGGAAGGAAGGAAGGAAGGAAGGAAGGAAGGAAGGAAGGAAGGAAGGAAGGAGAGGGAGAGAGAGAACATATGAGGATGCAGCTAGGACATTGATGTTGGCCCATTGCTACAGATTTAGTTACAAATAGCTGTTGATCACTCTGAACAGAACTGCAAGTCCATCTGGGGCAAATTTAGGCTATCAGGCTTGGAAGGAATTCAGATTCTAAATTAGCTCACAAACGGTTAGGTTGAAAATGAAGTTTAAATTATTCTATTGTTGTTAAACCAAGGGGAAAATAATAAATATCAAATCCTATGGGCTGTCTGATAAATCTTTTCTTACAACAGCTGATTTCTTTCAACCTGACTTCTTAAAGATGAGTCCTGTTATTTATTTGCATGTTAAAAATAAAACACAATAGTCTAAACAAGTGTTAACAATCTCTGTGTTAGGGTATTCCTTATTACATAAATATATCATTATTAAATGAACGAGGAATTCCCATTGCATTTAGGGGTGATTTTTATTTTGTTTTGTTTTCATTGAGGAAGTCTAACCATTCAGAGTATTAATTAGAAATCTGAGGTTAATGGACTTACTTTGACCTAGATATTGAATTGTTCAGAAAGCTTCAAGAATATACTATTGTTCTAATAATGTTGTTTCCAAAGAAATAAACAAGACTAGATCCACTGTTATCGTAGTCTGATCGGTTAATAAAACTGAAATTAACAATAGCTAGTTTAGAGTGCATGATACATTTCCACAAAAACATATTTTCATGCATTGAGAATAAATTGATATCTTGTCTTCTTATGAAGGCTACAGTATTACATCTTTCTATACACTATTCTATTATGGAACCTTTCAGCACATGTAATAAGGATACCATTGCATATATGAAAACATTTGGATGACATGGGTAATTTTTATGACTGCAATTTTAACAGCAACAGCAATTTTAACAGAAAAGGGAAAATACTTAACTAAATGACTTTATATAACCTTGTGTCTTAAAAATTTACTTATTTTAATTATGGGATAATGGTTCCACAATTTACAGAGAATACCAAAAAAAGCAGTCTGCTATTCACACACACAGATATAAATTGCATACGATGCATTGAAAATTTAAGCTGGTAAATTCTGCTTATTTTTATAACAAAGAGAAATCAAACATCTTTCTTGTTCTTCATTATGATTTTAGTAAACATGGCAATTTTTCCTATGATGGAAAGTGAAGTGTAGAACATTAAACTTGTTTATGCACTTTTTTTTTATAATAGCTAATTCATTTAAGCACACAGAAGGCAATAGAATGAGTGGCCAACCCACACAGATGTACACCAACAATCTGGCATCTCATCATGTTCATAAAATATGTCAACAGTACCTGGATTCTTTCCATCTTTATTTTAAACTATTGGTATTTATACCATACAAGCAATTTTTCCTATTGTTAAAATTATGTTCCCACTAAATAAGAATAGAAACAGAGCCAAATGTCCATGTTGTTAGCAATTTAACACAAACAGTATATCTTTATAAAAAGAAAAAAACCTTTTCTAAATAAGATACTGTATATACTTGAGTTAATTATATTATTATTGTAGGAGATTCTATTAAGATCAGGAAGTTGTGTCCCTAATAGAACAGATTTATTTATGATGAATTGAAATGTGCAAAATCAACCCTTCTGTTTCAGTGTCCTTTGATATTTGGGATTAATTTCTTTGGAAATGCTTAAGATTTCATTTAAAAATTCTAGCTTGGGATCAGGTACTATATTTTTAAATGTAAATACTTAGATTTCTCTGGACTGCTATTTTGTTTTCACCTCTATTGGAAAGCCAAAGCATGATTTGAAATTTGGTAGCCTGCCCAGAACTGAACATGTTGGAAAATATTTTGGTGAAAGATACATGACACTTTGTGACATAGGAACTCTCCTACTGCTATCCCCAGCGGCCTCTCCGTATTTGTCCATGCCCATGTAGGAATCTGTCCATTTCAATTTCAGTACTCTCTGTTCCTTATTTTTCCAGTGAGAAGGTCAGGCTTCTGTACATTTCTCATATTTAAATATATCAAAATAGTAAATATACCAAGTTTAAATAATTAAAATGTATTTCTTTGTAAAGAATGCATAACATTTGTATTTATTTGGTACATATTTCTCCAAACATGCATTTTGCTTGCAGTTTTATCTAAAGTGCATAGGTTTTTGCAAATAATTTTCCAAGTAAGTTGTATTTTTGTACATTAGGTTTACCAATCTATGCATGTATGTGTTTCTGTAAGAGAGAAATATAACATGTTTGACAAAGTGCATTACAAATTAATACATTTGTGAGTAATGAATGATAAATAATTTAAGTATTGGTTAGAAAATGTAAAATTACAATGTGATCTAAAAGAATTTCCACCATAATGATCACAAAAATCCAATGGGGTGTGCATTTCTTTGGAGATTACTATGTCCTTGCAGAAGATAGAAGCAATTCTCTTTGCACTATAGTTATTATTGTCACTTAAGATATCCTCCATATCAGAGCAGCAACCTCTGGTATCCCATGGAAGTTATTTTCTAAGGTCACCAGCTAAGGCTTTAAAAGCTTGCCAGCTGTAATGTGATCTGAATTTGCTTGCTATGTGCATGGCTAAAGCATAGGACTTTATTCCTATATGTGCAAGCACAGTTAAATTATTTGTGAATGATGCAGAATCCAGGGCTAGTTTAATTCAGGTGTCTGATTTATCAACCCAATGTTGCTTGTAATAAGTTATGCATAAGTCATTATGAGTGGACATACTCCATCTCTTTCTGCAAAGCGGAAATTAATGAAGTGAAATTGGGAACTTTGAAAATCAGGATACATATGCAATGTAGGAAAAAGTGGTGTGGATTTGTGAATCTCTCTCTCTGTGTGTCTGTGTGTGTATAAAAGAGAAACACTGATACAACCTTAACTCTAGTCATACAAATGATGCTGCTATTATTTACTATGGTAACATTATAAAAGACTACACTGTTTGGGACCATTATCCTTCCAGCTCTCTTTTCAGTACAAATCATTATATTTATTATCTGTCGTCTTGTATAGAGGGTCATGAGAAAGGCCAATCGAAAGCAGAAGAAGCCTGCTTTTCAGAAGAAAATTGGACCTATTTCTAATTCTCTTTCATTCTCAAGCATAAGGAAGTGCAGACTTTTTTTGTGTGTGAAAAATTGTTTCATGCAAGATAAAAGTACAGATTATCGGTGAGAAAATGGCACACTCTTTCTGACACCTTGCAGATTCCTAGGAGATATTGCCAGTTTTCCTAAAAGATTTTCATCTTTTATATACCCAAAGAAAAATGTGTTCCCTTTTAGACACTGAGCTGCAGGTGCCAGAATTTAAGGCATTATCTTTGAATATGTTATATATAAGATATATCAATGATTTGGGGATATGTTTTAACAATACGGCATCTTAGAATAAATACCGTTCAGAACATCATGGGGAAAATAGATGTTTCTATGAATATGTGCTCAGCGTTCTAGTTCCATTGAAAAGACATGTCTTTTTTTTTACTTAGAAACAGAACTTTTGTGTGGAACCCCCCCACCAAATAATTAAGTCAATAAGAGTCCTTCATTTATTAGAAATTCTGGAGTTATAATCAAGATACGTAATGTACAGTTTCCTTTCTTAGTCAAGTCTTTTGCAGTAAAAAGAAAGGCAGAAAGCAATATGGAGGATTATAAACCAAAGGCATTGTTTTCTAGAGAATTTTTCCCATCCCTGGTCAATTTCATGAATAAAGCAACTGAGTTGCATCATTAACAGAACTACTAATTTCTGTAGAAAAGCTTCTGTTGGGGATATTTTAATTTGGATTCCTGCCCTTAATAGGAGTTGGACTTACTGACCTAAATGGTCCTTTCCAGCTCTATGACATTGCAGTAATTTTTCAATTCCCAATTACTTTCCATGGACAAGTGTCCATTTGGCACTGAAAGAGCATAGAATCCTGTTGTATGTTAAAGATATACTATACTGCTTCTGTATATATTTAGATGAGTGAATAATACTGTAGTTTGAAAATCTGAATTGCAGTATTCTAATGGTCAATGTCTATCTCCAGTAGGAGACTTCACTCTCTAGAGAAGGCTATAAAACTGGGAAAGGTGGAAAAGAGAGAAGAGGATCAGCAACAAGATAGATGGACTCAGTTGCAGTGATGATAAGTGCACCATTGGAAGACTTGAAGGATAAGTTAGGAATGGATCATTATGGAAAAAAAATCTATGTGGTTGCTAAGAATCAACACATAAGCAATCAATGGTCAATTAATGGATAAAGTGAGGAGACAAGCTTTGGTTCAGCAAGCCACTTTGTTCCAGTTAAGAACCATATCAAGATGGTTAGCTCATGCTATGTTGATTAGTATATATAACATAAAAGTGGTCATTTTCTTGCTCATTACAATGTTTATCTTACAACTATCAAACAATCAGAGTAGAGCTGGAAGGGACCTTGGAGATCTTCTAGTCCACCTCCTGTTCAAGCAATAGACCCTATACAATTTGAGACAAGTGGCTGTCCAGTCTCTTCTTAAAAATCTCCAGTGATGACGCACTCACAACTTCTAAAGGCAAGCTGTTCCTCTGGTTAATTGTTCTCACTGTTAGGAGGTTTCTCCTTAATTCCAGGTTGCTTCTCTCCTTGATTAGTTTCCATCCATTGTTTTTTGTCTTGCTTTTTGGTGCCTTGGGAAATAAGCTGACCCCCTCATCTTTGTGGCAGCCCTTCAAATACTGGAATACTGCTGTCATGTGAACCCTAGTCCTTCTTTACTCTAGACTAGCCATATCCAATTCCTGTAGCCATTCTTCATATGTATTACTCTCTAGGTCTTTAATCATCCTAGTTGCTTTTCTCTGCACTTTTTCCAAAGTCTCAACATCTTTTTTGTAATGTGGTGAGCAAAACGGTTGTATAAAGCTATACTAATACTTCACATGATTTTGATTCTATGCCTCTGTTTATACAACCAAGGATTGTATTAGCTTTTTTGGCTGCTGCTGCACACTACTGGCTCATATTTAAGTGATCATCCATGAGGACTCCAAGGTCTCTCTCACAGTTACTGTTTTTAAGCCAAGTTTGCTATTGTACTTTCTCCATTGAAGAGGCTTTCTCCAACTGGCTAAAAGTTTTCTTTTCCTTAATTACTTCCTTAATTACTTATAAAGGGGCTCCTGGATTTGATTAGCATCATGTCTTCGCTCCTTTTAAACTGGTTCTAAGTTACACAAAATTTAAATCAGCAATGTAAGACACCTGCATCTGTGACAATGGATTAAACCAATTTCTATTTTATTTTCAGTAAGGAGGGAATAAAGTCTTAAAAACATGTCTGGAAATATTATGAGTCAATATTCATGCTGGTGTATACTTCTGTTATCAGTATGATAACTGATGTTAATTCAGTAAATATTTTCAGCATTGTAAATAGTGGGCAGTGTAGTGGTTGTTAATACAAAGTAGACAAAATGACTGACAATATCAACAGAAGAGGCACTGGTTCTCTATGGATCAACAGCAAAGTTTTGAGTTGAGTTTTTGCCAACACTTGCAGGGAAAAGAAACATGACTGTAGATAAATGAATTTCAGAGTTTATAGGTGACAGCAATAGTGCCCTGCCCTAATTTTTTTCCATAAACAAATGGATTTCATTATTAAAAGTCAAGAGAGCAAATTCCTTAACAGCTTTAGAGTTTTATTTTATGTGCATTTAAAGTTTATTTTAAACAATTTTTATGATCCTTTATGAATTTATTTGGAAGAGGAAAACTGATACATATCTGGGCATTTATTTGATTGAATCTAATATCAGCTAATTGATTATCACAATTTATAACCATATGAATAGCTATATAGCTAAAGTTATATAGTTTATATTATAGTTATATGTAACTATAATTAGAATAATATCTATAATGATGACCCAAGAATGGGCAGAGAAAGTGTTCCAATTTGTTTAGCAACAAGAATGCAACCTGTTTTCTGGATATGAAAATAAGGAGAGTTTCTTATTTTCTTCTCTTTTTAAGATCTCCAAGAGCCTAGTAAAAGAAAAAGAATTCTATTGGTAGGGCACTCCAGATTATCAGAAAATAGATGTTATAGGTGTACATTCTGCAGAAGAGGAATTTTCTCTCCATTGGAAATGAATAATAGTGGAATTATTTAAATGTTCACCCTTCTCTTGGTGTACTTCTCATTTGTTCTCCAGACATTTGGCTTGAAGACCTACAGAATCTAGACCACTTTTGGAATGAGAAAGTCACACTTCTCTATGAGCACAAGATTATAATGGACATTTGGCAACATCTCTGAATTTGCCATCTCTTCCTCATTCACATGTTTGAAAAAATGTCATTTCTTTATGAGAACAATCTTGTGATTATGTCTATGGAGATTCTCAGTCATCCAGGTCATGGTTGTCCCTAAGATCCTTTTTCAAAAGGTAACTGGACTTTCTTTGTTTGGCTTGAAGATGTTTTGCTTCTCATCCAAGACCTGAAGAAGTTTCACAGACTGCTTGAAACTGCTTGAATCGTCTTCAAGCAAAACAAAGAAAGTCTTTTGAAAGTTCCTTTTGAAAAAGGACCTTTGGGGTGATCTTGTGATTAAAAAAAAAATAACAAAATCAGTTCCTCACAATTAATCAAAGTTTCTTTAGGAAAACCAATGAAACTCCAAGTTTGATTCTTACATGAGTGTACACATTATTACGCTTATAGGCAATAGTGGAAAATCTGATCTTCACAGTTATATGACTCAAGTGTATCCTCCGATTTATTATTTGTTGGTCTGATAGATCTTTCTCTGTAATTCAGTTCTTTACCTTGATCTAACAAATTGGACCCAGCTGTTGATCTAACAATTTTTTCAGGCTTATTAATTTTAATCAATTATTAAAAATATTTCCCAATGAGAGAAGCAAGCAGCATTTAACAAAAATTAGTGGCTTTGTTTTTTTTTCTAAAAAAAATAAC